TGGCAAGCACATTATCTTAGCAACACCATCGATAGCTTTAAAATTTGCAATCTGATAGTTGTGGTAAAGACTGTGTTGCAATGTATTCATATCATTATTACAGAAAAAAAAAGCAGCCTTTTAAAACTTCTCATTGCTCACTCAGGACCAAACAATGTTTTCCAGTAAATGGTCCTCACCATCTAAGTCTGGCAGCACCTCTTAGACAAAACAAACTGCGGGCTTTAATTAAGCATTTTACAAAAGCTATTTTCCAATACTGCCAATAAAATGTCTGGGCTATTTTTACAGTCTTAAAGTGTAAAAAAAAAAAGTGCTATACAAAATGAATTAATTTTAAACAAGAATTTGTATGTCCCAAGGAGAGGATTTTATTTTCAAAGCTTCTAAAATCGATCTGCCTGACTGCCAAAAGAAAGTTTACTTTTCAAACCAATGAAGAACATCTACAGGCTTTTTCTTTTACCTATCTCACTTTACCCTGGTTTACCCAGTGTGATGTTTAGAAAATAAAATAGTATACATATGGAAGAAGTGACATTAAAAGATTGCTATTACTGGCATATGTCAATGGATTCTTTACTTGAGGAAATGACCATGACTGAATGCACCCTCATTACACTGTTGTTCTTATCAAAGTTCCTGTGGTAACCACAACAGATGCACACACGATTTATGTTTGGAAGGTAAAGTATTAAACTTCCCAGATCAGAGTTAAAAACATTCAAGTCTAGTATTGATCAAATTATTTTATTCTAAAAGCCATGGGTAAACAGTTTAATATAATAAAGAGATCACTATTATAATGCTCTGAATGAATGACTTACTATTTTGCACTATTAAATTCACAAAAGTTGTAATTTCCCTAAATTACAAATAAATAACAAACTTTTATCAATAGGAAAATAAGAGACTGAACAAATGGTTGAAGGGTAGTGTGTTGTGGCAGGTGGAGCACTAGACTTGAAAACAGATGTATGGGTTTGATTTCCAGGTTGGTTACCACTTACCTTATTGATCACAGGAAAATTCTTAACATCTTTTTCCATTCCAGTACCTATTGTCTCCCATTAAAATAATTAATGTGGTTGTATTTTGTGAATTATAAGGCAGCATGCAACTGTAAAGCATTCCTTCAATCAGTAAGTTGACAATATAATAATAGTTTCCTTTCAAATCACATCAGTATTCCTTACTTCTCCCTATCCTGGTTACTCTCATCTATTCTACACAAAAATTGGGGGGCCACTCTAAGAAGTCAGATTTGTCCCCAAAACAGCTCTGTGCCATTGACTGAAATATTTTGTTTCATGTTTGGCAATTGGGGAGAGGAAAAAAAAAAACAAGAGGTCTTGTTTGAATGCATATGTGATAGTAAGCTGTGTTCCATGAAAGTACTCAATAGTCCTTGGTAAAGATGTTTTTCTAGTGGCTGAAATTTTTACCCTGAAACATCACTCTTAACATAGAATGAATGCAAATAATTTTTATTGCCAGCAACTTTAGTTAACTTATTGAAGTCTTCTTTAATTGTTTTAGGTCGAATACCTCTACTCCAAATGACTGTCTGTTTTGAAGAGGTCACAGTGGAATTTTGCTTACAATAAATGAGCCACCATAGTGATTGAGAAATCTCAGTTCCATGGAGGTGTTATTCTAATAATTCACAATAACTAACTTCAATACAATAAAAATAAATTTCTCTCAGCACCTATAATTTATAGTAAAAGGGTTTGATAGGAGAACATTGAAAAGAAGCTTACATTTCTTTCCTGTTAGTAAGAGTGTCTAAAATTTCAAAGGGTGATCATTGTGGTGGATTTTGTTTTTGCTTTTTAATACCAGGTACTATGATAACATTACTAATTTGGCAGAGTAAGCTTCTCACCTCTCCTGGAGCTGAACCCATCTCATCCTATTATCCCAAGCATAGAAAAATCTGTGCGTTTTCCACCTAAACTCATTTCAGACTATGAATTCTACTTTAGATATAGCAGTAAATACAGCAAAAATATATACATGGTCAAAAGTCAGGCTAAACCGTTTAAGAAACACCACATTCTCCTCCTAAATTGTTAATGCTTATAACCCATGTGTTTAAAATGTAAAGACATCACACTTTAAAGTTATTTCTGGGGGCTTTTTCCTACAATTATCTTGAATAGTTTTAAAATACCTACTTACATGCAATGTGACTGTAGGCAAGTGAGATTATTAATTTTGTGTTACACGGAAAAAGCTGTCTCACTATCTTAGTCTTGTGTCATTTCACTTTAGTTATAAACAGATCCCAACTGTAAAGATCCCAACTCTGAACAACCATGTAAGCCATCTAAAATAAAAATAATGATTGAAAACTGAGATCTGATGACAGAGAATTTTAATTAGCTTTGTGTTTCTAAATGTCATTATAACAGTAATAATGACAGCAATGATTATAGTTGTATAACAATTCATGTACAATACTTACTATGATGTGCCAGGCACTGTTCAAAGCAGTTGCCATAAATTAAAACTACTTCTGAGACACAAAAATCATAATGAAAACTGTATTTTGCTCCTTTGCCACAGCATGTTTTTAGTTTACTAACATGATCTATTTTTTATATTCCATAGGAAGGTGAAGAGAGATTGGAAATGGGCACAAATTATTATATAACTTTACACTAAACAGAATAGATCATGTCTGTTCTTAACACTTCACAGACAAAATCCTACCATATCAATTCACATAAAATAATAACAAAAACCATTTTTCTGTAATAAGCTATTTTTATATCTCCTTCTTTCAATATAATGCAGCAAATTATATGCCTGAATCACCCTCAGGACAAACTAAATCATTAGTTTATACTGTTGAAACTTTAGTGTTAATCCAATGACAAAATAAAAATATCCTATATCTGTAAAGTTATAAACAGAGCTGAGCCCCTCTTTAGAGTTCCAAGGTACTTCCACATTTTTCTCTAGTTTCAAACTAAGCACACACCTCCCTGGGAATTGTAGCCTCTTTGCTGTAGTCACTCAATAAAGTAAGGAATTTCCTCAATGAACAAGACATGTAGAGAACATGAAATCTTCCAAATAGCTGCAAAATCATTTGACCTCGTTTATAAATCAGTAACTTGCAATAAAATAATGATAAGTTGATCTTGATAACCCTTGAAATGTTAGGGTTTATTTAAGGAACAAGAGGATTTCCCTAATTTTAATCTCTGTTTAACCACAGAGTATTGGAAGCTATAGACAAACCTCTAGGTAAAGTTGTCCTTTCCAGAGTACTACAGGGACTCAGACTGCTATGATCACCTACATCAATATTATAAATGGTGACTGCAGCAGTTTGGCTACAGCTTGATGCCAATTTGCAGGTGTACTTTACAAAATAAAGCATATCGGTTCTTTAAAAGCTGGTTATGAACTAAATTCTCGGGAATACAATTATATATTTGAAATGCAAGGTTGGTAGCAGTGGTGACTGTGAGGGTGTGCTCACGCACATGCATGTGTGTATGTGTCTGTGTGTTAGGGGACTCACAATTTAAAGATCTGAGTTAAATCCTTTGGTGAGCCAAAGTATCCTTTTGTCATTTTAATGATCACTCTTTAATGTGTCAGTGCTGCAAATGTGCGTTTCTGTATGACAAGTTTTCTATGGGGGGGGAGGGGGAAGGGGAGGGGAAGCTACACCTGCACTAAATAGGGAGCTTGTTAGGTGACTGTTGTGATCAGTCCCCAACTTGTTCTGCCTGATCAAGCACAGTGGGCAGAGATCCAATCACAAAAGCATTCCACAAAGCAAGCAAAGCAAAAATCTTCACTAAACTGACTACTGGAATGAAAACTGCTGGGGTCCATCCATTCCCTTTACTGGAAAAGAAGTGCATTCTACTAAAAAGGGAGAGCAGTTGAGACTATGGAGACCTGGTCTTTGGAAGTCATTTCTTGAGAATGACTGCAGATACAATGATAACATCATTGCACAAGATACACGATATAAATGTGCTAGAAGTCTTATTTCCAAGTCTGGCAGCTCCTACTCTTCCTTATTTGTTACTTTGGAAAAGCAATACATGAAACAACTTCCACTGTTCCATATAGGCTGCCCCTGGGGTCAGGTTTTCCTTCGGCTCTATTATCTTGCTTTACTTGATTTCCAATTAGATTTTTTTAATGCTTTTTAAACCTTTCAAACAATATCCATACCCATTATCAAGTTGTCACCATACCCTCTTTGGGGGGAGTTACATGAAGAAAACGAGGCACAGCGAAGGTGAATTGCCTGTCACCATTAGTGACAAAGGAAAGGAACACTCAAGGTTTCTGGCAATTTATCCTGTGTAGAAACAAAACAAGTCAACACAATAACATGTTCCACAGCCAAATATTCTTTTCTTTCCATCACCTGTTGTTCTGAATTATTTGTTTTCCTCCTTCCAGAAATGCATATTAACAACTGACATTCAGCCTTCTTCATAAATCATAGCAAACTAGCAGAGAACAATGTTTGCTTCAAGAAAACTTGCAGAGAAAGTCATCCTTCCCCAAAGCTTCATCGCTGATTATTACTAAACAACATTCTGTGGTCTTATAAAATGCCTACAATTAAATATGTGCACTGATGGAACAAAAAGCTTTTACTTGTTGATTTGAAAATGAGTTGAGGCGATTCAATTGCTGCCCTGTTTGCACAAGCCATTTAGGGTTAGGGAAAGATACTATTCAAAAGCATCCTCATGCTTTAAATTTTCACTACTCCTAAAAGTAGACCCAATGTTTAAAGGATAATCGGTTCTTTCCAGATAAAAGCCACTTTATCTGGGTTGGGTTAAAACTTGCAAAGATCTCAAGTTATTATGCGAGGAATTAAATCTGGATTCTATTTTCCATGCCGTCAATGAAACATGAACCCACATTCCCCTAACTCTTCTGTAGACCTAGCAGCGCATCGATTCACCAAGCAGTGATCATTAAATTTAGGGAAATGCATTTTAAAATTACTAACCTCTTTCGGGAGCGTCGAACTTCTTGTCAGATCTGGAAAAGTCCATTCTCACGTAGGTGTCGTCGTCCTCATCAGAATCTTCACGCTCGGGGGGTCTCGGCAGCCGGCGGCGGGTAGGTGGTGCGGGGGGAGCGGCAGCGGCAGCGGCAGCCCCGCGGGCCCCGTCCCCATCCCCAGCAAGGTCTCCAGATGGGTTTGGGGCTGAGGGGTTACGAACCCCAGCAACTTCTTGGGCCCCCCTGATGGCTTGGGCTTCCGCCGAAGGAGCTACAGGTTGGAACCAGCGCACGGAGGCGGGGTCAAATCCCGCGGCGGCCGCGGCTCCCATGCCGGGGGCCGCAGCGAGGGCGGAGGCGGCGGCCAACGCCCGGCCCACCGCTAAGGCTGGCGCAGCGGCCGAAGCGCCGGCTGGGGCGGAGAGGTCTCCTTCCAGGCTGTCGGTGGGGAAAGCCGAGACTGCGGCTCTGGCGGACGCAAAGGAACTCTGTGACCGGCTTTGTGGGCGTCTTCTCTCTTGCTCTTCTTCCTGCAGCAGCCGAGCTACAGGTGGTGGTTCCGAGCAGCGGCTGGGGGAGAGAGCAATGTCCATACGGCACTCAGAAAATGGGTCGACCACGTAGATGCGACCCGTTTCAGCATCGTAGCGAATGGCACTGTCAGCAAAAGGCACAGGTGGTGTCATCGCTGGGTTGAAAATCACTTCGATGTAGTCACCCTCTTCCTCATTAGCACTGTCACCTGTAGCACTGGGAGGAAGCGGAGGAAGTGGCCACCTAGCACCGTTCAGAGAGAAGGGGTTGGCACCTGGAATAGCTCTTAAAAGATCTGATAGGCTGTGTGCTGAATTTGGAAATGGCACTCCAAACTCAACATTCACGTAACGAGAAAAGGCTGACTGTCTGGGGTCAACAATTATGCCCCACGAATCTGGCAGTCCTTGAGCAGAGGGAGCTGGCGTATTGCTCTCTCTTTTAGTGAAGTCAATGTTGACGTAGTCACTCGAACTGTCAGCTTCTCTCTGCTCGTGTGTGGGCTTTTGTGGTTTGGGCTTGATTTTATTTCCTTTTGTGATAAAAGAAAGTCTATTAGGTCTCTTAGCCTTGTTCTTGGGGGGGCCATCGTCTAAAGGCTTTGAGAATGACCCCCCAACTCCAGGTTTTGAGAATGACCCTTCAACTGAAGGCTTTGATGGTGCGTCCTTGGAGCCCCCAGCGGATGAGGCATCTTTGTCCAGATTCTTCCCCAGGAATTTTCCAGTTAACATTGGTACATACTCACTGTGGTCACTTTGTCCTAAGGGGGAGCTCCGGAAAGGATTTGGCAGAGAAAAATAGGAGCTCCAACTTTTGGAGGAAGAGCCGCCCTGAGGGTTTCTGGGGTTTTTTGGAATTGCACCAGCTCCAGGAGCCATAAACATATAGTCACTGTCACTGTCATTGTCCTTTGAGTCATCCTCTTTATCAGGTTCAGGTGCTTTGGGAGGACTTGGGGCAGGTGGTGGGCTCACTCTGGGAAACATCATCATATACCCCCTGGAATCTTCAAAGGGGGATCGAGAGTGGCGTTTTGAAGCAGCAAAGTTTTGAGGAGCCATTGGCATATAATCACTGGAGCTTGCAAGAGGAGCGGCCACCCCTGGCCTCATTGGTACATAGGGATCATCCTCATCCTCGTCAAAAGCCCTGGCTCTGTGGGGACCCCGAGCAGCGCCTTCTGGGCTCTCTTCCTCTTTGACTTCTTTGGCTTCTTTGCGTTCTTTCGCAGCCCCTCTGTCAGCACAAAAGTAAAGTCGGAACCTGCCCCCAGATTTCCCTTTCCCACCAATTGCTCCAGCAGGCGGGGGTGGCGGTGGGGGTGGCGGAGGTGGCGGCATTTGGTGTTGCTTGCTTTGGGTTAATTTGCCAAAGTAGGATCGTTTCTTTAGAGATTTTCCACGTTCACCATCGCCATCGGACCCTTTCCCACTTCCTGAGCCTTTGCCCCCTCCAGAGTTCTTGCCACCACCTGAGCCATGGCCACCTCCGGGTCCCTGGCCACTGCCTGAACCGGGCCCACCTCCAGCTCCCTGGCCACCACCGGATCCATGACCACCTGCGGTGCCCTGACCATGTCCTGAGCACTGGTTTCCTCCTGTGCCCTGGCCCCCGGAGCCCTGGCCACTGGAACCCTGGCCACTGGAACTCTGGCCACCTCCAGTGCTCTGTCCCCCACCGGAACACTGGTTTCCTCCCGAGTTCTGGCTACTGGAGCCGTGGCCACTGGCGCCCTGGCCACCTCCGGAGCCCCGGCCATTTCCGGAGCCCCAACTGTTCATGGGCATGTAGTCGCCTCCGTTTCCTTCCTCTCTCTCATTGCCTTGAGGATTGCCCTCTTCCCCAGAGTTGCCAGAGCCGGCCCCTGCTACTTCAGCGGACGGGCAAGCTCTGCAGACGGGAGCTTCTGCCGGGTGCGAGGCACGCACCGGGCTCGGTGCTAAGCGGCGACAAAAGCTGGCTGGCACTGAGAGCGCTCTCCGGGACCTGCGCGCTCGGGGCAGGTGCAGTCTTTCCCGCCTGGAATGGGGCACAGGCTCGCTGGGGGTGATGTAGCGCCGGGTGAGCAGCATCTCGTCTTCCCCGTCCCCGATGGCCCTGAGGTGGCAAAACTGCTCAAAGCGGGACCTTCGGAGCCAGCCGCCGGGCTCCAGCGGCAGCATCTCCAGGTGCCTCCTAGTGGACAGCAGGGTTAACAGGTGGGCGCCGATGCTGATGCTGTAGCTGCGGCAGCGGGCTCTGTATTCATCTGCACACAGGGCTCGCATCTTCTCCAAAAACAGTTCGTGCATGTTTTGGGCTACCACACAGTCATCAACCTGCATCCAGAGCTCCCCTGGGCCGATGACGGTGGACCTGCCGACTTCCAAAAAGAAATACTGCTCCGAGTGCCCGCAGCGACGGATGCTCAGGAGCTGGACGACCACGCTGGCCACTTCGGTGTTGAGCCTCACAAATACGACCTCCTCGTCGGTAAGACACAGCCGGAACACGCCGCTCAGCTCTTTTCGGTGCCCCAGCCCCCTGGGTTTGACTATTACCTGCCACACATCTTTGTAGAAGGGTGGCTCCGCCGCCGCTGCCACCGCCCGCGCGGCCGGCTCTCCCTCAGGCTGCGCGCTGGGCGTGCCGCAGCGGCGGCGTTTGCTCTCGAGGATGAGGCGGCTGAGCAGCAAGTACCAGCTCTCTTGCTCCGACTCGTTCTCGGCCACCATCGCGAAGTACTCGTCCTGGGTGAACAGGGCGATGAGGTGTCGGTACCTGGCGTCGGCTCGCTGGCTCACCGAGAAGCACTGGTACAGGGTGATCACGCGCCGCGGCGGGATGAGCGCGGGGACCGAGGCGCCCGAAGCAGCCGCCGCCGCTGCAGCCGCCGCGGCGCGGACACTGTGCCGGAACTTCCTGGCATTTTCGTAGTATTCCAGGCGAGCCGGGGCGTCGGCGGTCTCGAGTTTGAGCACGAAGTAGCGCCGGTGCCCGTGCTTCTGTTTCCTCAGGTAGCCGCGTTTGCAGACTTCGTCCCCGACGGGGAGGTCCTCCTCATCGGACTCGGAGTCTGACCGGGAGCCCGTGGCCGTGGAGAGCCACATGGCTCCCGGACAAGACGACCCGGTCCCAATGAGTGCGGTCGGGGTTCCCGAGGAAAGAAGTGGGGTGGTCGCTGCCGCAGCTCCGGCCGCCGCTGTGGCCGCTGCTGCAGTTCTCAGTCTCCTTGTCGCTGGGTCGCGAGCGAAGGAGCAACTCGCCATGGTGATGCACGATGGTTTTAAGGTGAGCGAGGGGGAGGGGGGGCGCAGGGAAGGGAGGGTGGGGGGAAGAGGCCGTCTACCCCGGTCCGCCCGCCCCAGCCCCCTCCCGCCTGGGCCTGCGCCCCCGCCCACTTCACTCGGAGCCCGGCGGCGGCGGCGGGCAAAACAACACGTGACCGCGGCCTCACGCGGCGGCCGCGGCCGCTCCTGCCACAGCCGCAGTGGAGGGGCTCGAGCTTCTGCCCGCTGAGGTGTGCACGGGAGGGGGTGACGGGCTTGAGGGGAGGGGCCGCCTCCCGCTATCTCCAGACCAGCCTCGCGGTTCTGCTGGGCGGCGGGCCCCGGGCGGGACCGACGGGAGGCGGCGAGGCTCTTGGGCCACCCTGGTCCCAAAGTGGAGCCCATGGAGGCACCCGTTAGCGGCGGGCCGGAGCCCTGGCGGGGGCGCCACTGCCCGGGCCCCATTGGATGTCACGGGCGCGAGGTGGCGGGAGTGGGCGGAGCGTCAGCGTTTCAGGCGGGGCCAATTTGCAGGGCTGGCTCCGCGGCGCGACGGTTTGTTTGTTTATTTGGAAAGAGAGAGCAAGGTGAAACTATTGCGAGATTCTCATTGGCTGGGATGGGAGCCAATGGGCGGGCCCGGCAGGAGGCGGTCCTGAATTAATTAGTTTGGGTGCTGGAGAGGAGCTGAGGGGCAGGAGGCGTGGCTTGGGGCCAGTGGGCAGCTTGCCGGGCGGACGGTGGTGGCGAGCTGAGGCGGTAAACAACCCTCCGCGAGTAGCGGTTGAGGGTAGTGATAAACTCCTGCGAATGCCTGAGGCACGGTGAGCCCAGCCGCGCCGGGCGTCCTCTCCATTTTCCCGGTCCCTCACGTAAATTCTCCATTCCTGTCGCAGCCGGGTCCGCTGGCTCCCGCGGCGCACGGCGAGCAGAGCGTCTTGGGAGAGAGCTTCGTCACCCCCTGGAAACGTGTTAACCACCAGGGCTCTCAGATCTGCCGCCCGCCGCGCAGCTCACGCTCCTCTGCCTGCCCCGGCCCTGACAAAAGCGCGCGACTCTGGCGCACACGAGTAACAGTAATGCCTTCTAAGTGAACACAACCAGCGCATCTGTAGCCCACGAAACACAGGTTGGCTGCAGAGCGTGTCTCTGGCAGTTTGATTAATGATGACTACGAAAGCATTAACTTGGGGGCCTGCACGGTATACAGCCATGTTGAAAAATATCGGACTCGTTTTCTCGATTCTTACTGAAATACATCAGTGTTGAGCTGGCGTGTTATTTTCCGTAGCAGATGCTTTGAAAGACGCCTTTAAGAGCATTTCAAAATGATACTAAGTTTCCTTTCCCTTGAGCGACACCGAAAAACTTTAGAGAAAGAAAAGCTCATACCTAGAACAAAGAATCATTCCGAACACATTTTCAGAGTATGTTGCACATCACTCGCGTCAAGAAAAGAAGATTTTTGCTGAATGTCAGTCTACAACTTGACGCCACAAAATTCAGAACTACTGCCTCCCTTGTTTCTGGAAAAACTGCTGGAGTGTAAGTGCCGCCTCCAAGTGTCTCTTTCTTTCCCTCCCGACTCCTTCATTCTCCCCCTCCACTACCACCCCCCCCCCGTTTGTCTTTTACCAGAATTTCAGCTTTTCAGCTTCCTGGGAGCAGAGATGGGTCGATATTACATTAAAATGTCACAGGAGTGATCATATTTGCAAAGAGAAATTTGGAGGGGCAAGGAGGGGGATATATATGGTATTTCTCCCTAAAAGAATGGAGTGTTAGTTCACTTTTGCCCTTGGGTAGATGCTGCAAACGGAGTTATTTATAAAAATGTAACAGTAAACCACGCAATATATACATCATAAAAAATAAAGCGCACCCTTGCCCTCTTAAGAATTTGTTGTCTTGTAGAATAAACAGATTTGGATGACTTGCTCCTTTTTGATGTTCCCATTTGGGGAAAAATGAATTGGTTTTGATTATCCCCAAAACATTAGAAGAGCTCTAATATAACATCACAAACGTTTTTAAATAACATTCCCTCTGCTGCCACCGGTTTATAAGCACAGTCTATTCACAGGTGCTAGGAGTTGCTGTGGAGCTGAAAGGGACTGACTAGAGGCAGAGGGGGTGTGGATGCTGAGGGGAAACTGACTGGCGCTGCCCCTACATGTTTCGGCTGCCCAGTCACATTGGTGGATCCCCTGCACTTAAAACCACAATGATAATGAATTAGGTAATTTGAGATTTTTATGAGAGATGTTATGCTATTTCAGAAGACTTTCCAATCACAGGATTTTGCTTTAGATAGAAATGTTTTGAGCACAAGGCAATGCATTTGAAAGTGTTTTGGGTGAAAATAGGACATTTTAAAATGTGTTGAAAAGCATTAAAAGGCACATTAGATGAAATTTGGAAAATAAATAGATTTTGAAATCCTCATGTATTAATAGATTTTTTTCATAGTGGTAGGCTTACATGGTATATAACTTTGTGTCTTGTTTTCACTACATATTACAATATCACATTTTTACCATATTATTAAGGATTTGCCCAAACATCATTGGAAATACAGCAAAATATGCCAAGCAACTAATATGTATCGATGTATTGAAACATCCCTCTGCTTTGAAGTATTTACATTGCTTTTATTGTTTTTCTCAATCATAAATAATACTGCAATGAACATCTTATCTTGTACATATAGTTTTTAAAAGAATGCTTATGCTTATTCACTTGGGGTGGAAACCAAGGAGTCGAATTACTGAGTAAAAAAAAAAAAAGTATGACTATTTGATATGTTGTTTTTCAAAAATATTATATCAGCTTACTTTTACCACACAAATTGCCAGGATTGGGCATTCTTATTAAAAATACACACACACACACACACACACACACACACACACACACACTGAAAAGGCGAGTGAAATGGTTTTTCACTTTTCTTATATTTTTTACTAGTGAGTTAAAACTTATTTTATATATTGCTGACAATATATTATCTTCTGTTAATTGTCCTTTTTATGTCCTTTGCCTTATCGGATTCTTAAGTGGTTTTCTTACTATATGTAATTTGTATGCATAATAAAAAATATTAAAGCTTTGTCATATGTGTTGCAAGTTTTTCCAGTCTGTTGATGAAGAGCATCGTGTTTAAACTTCATAGTCTTCTCTTGTAAGGTTTGTAAGATTTGTAGTGCAACTTAGAAGATAACTATTTATACACACAAATGTCACCATGATCATTTCTAAACTTGTTTTAAATGATCTCATATCTAAGCTTATATGATCTTTTAAAGAGAGATCTAAATTTGTTCTCATATTAACAGCCTATAAAAGAGAACATCTATACTTGTTCAGTCTTATGCAGCACTCTTAAACAATGCTTTGTAAGAATTCCCTCCCTACCCTAAGGAGGGGTAACCCCTAATAGTAATCATTGTGTTTTGATAAAAGGTGTGAAAATAATATTTAAACAGTTACAGTGGAAGATTAACAGTGCTGCTCATTTGCACCTAAATTATATTATTTGACTGCAATAAACTGTAATTAGTGATGTATTGAGATGTTTCTTAGGGGGAGGGGACAGATATTAGTACTTGTGAACAGGGAGAATGTGTGGCTAGAACAAAATTTTCTTTACTTAGGTCAACCAAATCTCCTTAGTTCTAAAAGTTGTTCTAAAACAGTGAAGCTTTCTGGAGGAGACCATCATTACTGAATTGCACCAGATGCTGTGGCTTGTCTCACATATACTTAAACGTTCATCTTCCTGGACAACTTAATGATATAGAATAGTTGTTTAGTTTAGGTCAGGTTTCCATAGGCAAAATAAAGCAAAGGAGTGCTGCAGACATCTAGATGGTTCAGGCAAAAAGTAGAGACTTTGTATTTGGCTTGATCTCACCAGATGGTTGCTTCAGTGATTTGCTCTGCTTTTGGTCATAGATTGCTGCCAATTTTTGTTAGTTTGTTTTTATATTTAAGGAAAAATTAGTACAGACAGCTAAAGCAGATCTTCATATTCAGTTTTAAGTTCTGTAAAGTTTGGACTTTAAACCAAATGTCTCAAGACCAAATTTTTAAAACAAGAAGTAATAAAACCTACACCATTCCTTGTTTGTTTGTCATTGTAACTGTGTGGGGGGTGGGGTTGGGGAGAAGCAAGCATCTCAACTGTTATACCTATAAACTAAGGTAAATGGATAAATATTGCTACAGCACCTTTAAGACGGTTTTTATCTAGTGAAGAAATAGATATTTATTGGAGTTTGCCTTTAAAGGGAATTTTCTGTGGCTCCTGTCAAGAAAAGTTATTTGATTGAATTGAATAATCAGTAGTAGCATTAACTCATCTGCTTTTTTCCCTCATGTTCAAGATCATCAGTATTCTAAACTCAACTTGTAGAAAATCTAAATGAATAGTAGAAGTGTGCATTCACTTAGCTTAAAAACTAAAACTTTGCATTAAGTATGAATGTTATTCAAGAGAATAAAAGCCTAAGAGGGGAAAGTAACCCATATAAAAGCACAGTTATTCTTGCCCAATATACAAATTGTCCTTTGATTGTTAATTCTATAGTCTTTGTGAGCTATTATTCAATTATGCTGATTAAAATGTGGTGCTACCCTTTATTTTCAAAAATTATGCTAGTGGTGATGATTGCTTTCTCTGTTTGGACATAAATAAAATCACACACGATGAACGATGCTTTCTACATTATGCAGGAATAAGAGCTGCCCTGCGATTTGTGGCTGCAGCCACCGCTTGCAGATGACTGCTTTGCGTCTCAGCTTCTTTACTTCTATGCTACTCAAAATCTCTGCTGGAGAGAACACCCGTCAAATGCCTGACTGCTGCACACAGAACAGGTCTGTTTGCTGCTTTTGTTTCCTAGCAGTCTGTAGCTAAAGTAATTAGAGCAAATACATGGTTTAATTAGACTCCTAAAGCTTTTTCTGTTATCTTAGGAGTCAACTGAAAATTAACTCAC